AGAGCACCAGGTATGAAACCTTATTAAACTCAGATGAGTTCAAGTCCACACAGCTGGCAACATCCTGGATAAATGTCCAACAGTTCTCAGGCTCACCATAATAACGGTACATCTGGGTCATCTGCTGGGTCCTGGGTGGTCGGTCCATTCTGTCACGATTTGGTGTAGTAGGATGTTTAGGACCCAAAATGCAGAAAACCAGATGAACCAGGCAGGAGGTAGAGGATGAAAATAAATCCTTTATTTAGGAGTAGTCCAAAGGCAGGGAGCCAAAACCAAAAATCCAAATGACTAAACCAGAGATCCAAAAACACTAGAAGCTAGAGAGCAGACGAGACTGACAAGAAACAATGGACTGACAAGAACACAGAGACAGACAGGGCTTAAATACACTGGGAGGAGCAATCAGGGAAACAGGAAGCAGGTGTGTGGGGTGAGCTGCTGGAGGGAAGGCAGGTGACACTAATCAACTCAATGGGGAAAACAGAAACAGAGGATGGAGGACACCAGGAGGCACATAAAGGAGGGGGGCAGATGCAGACCATGACACATATATTGACGCTTGGTCACACGCATCATATTTTGACGCCTTGGGTGTGAGAATGTGTTGTTTTGTGACCATTCATCTTTGTCCTTTACAAAACAGTTGGCCATGACTACGATGGGATGGTATCTACAAATGTCTTTCATTTTGTGTCTGCACACAATTGGACAGCCCTAGGACCAATTGGAACACCAAACTGTGGAACGTATTAATTGTTACGGAAATCATTTAGTGGGCCAGTCCTTCATACACCATTGAAGAAGAAGAAGAAGAAGAAGAAGAAGAAGAAGAAGAAGAAGAAGAAGAAGAAGAAGAAGAAGAAGAAGAAGAAGAAGAAGAAGAAGAAGAAGAAGAAGAAGAAGAAGAAGAAGAAGAAGAAGCAAATACATATTTTTTGCAAATAAAGGACAAGTACCTCTACCAGCTCATGTCTCAAAGTTCCAAGTCTAAAGTTGATGCCGTTCCAAATAGGTGCCATTCCTGTGCTATCGCAGCTCTGGTGCTAAGCTCGCCCAACATCTCTCAACAAACAAAGTGCTGTTATTGACTAGACCTAAAATAGTTTGGTCCATTGGTAAACCTGCTGAAGCTACAACAGAGCATAGCTAGACCAACCTGCAAAGCAACGATTGGTTATTGCTACGGTTTGTCAACATTTCTAGGCTACAGCGTTCTGCTACTCTGTGGAAACCAGTATCTCACTGGTATGTGACTATTGGAGACTAATTGAATTTGTTTCAAAGGACTAGATGTCACAGTCCCTAATTGTACACGTGAAACCTGTAGCCAGCCCCATGCTTCCCCACCCCCTGAGAATTCTAACCGAGCCAATCAGCGCTGAGGAGCATACGTCACACACCACACCACTGAGTTTCACATAAACATGGCGACTGAAGCGGAGTTCGCTGCGGCTCTTTCCTCTGTTCTAAATGACTTGAATGTCTTTAAAACCACAACAAGTAGAAGCGCTAAAAGCCTTTACTCTAAAGAAAGATGTTTGCGCCATCGTCAGACGCCATTTTTAACTACAGCTTAAAAAAATATGGTGTCGTGCAGTACAATCGGCATTTCCACCTTTTTTCTGATTGGTTATTTTGAGCTGGCAAGTCCCGCCCCTTGTGTGCCTCTCTGCCTGTGAGTTACCAGATTCTTTCTGCTTGTAGCCAGAGGACAAGTCGGGCAGTCCAGGCTATCTCTCAACACCACGCTGTTACAAAATCTGGAACAACACAGCTTAAATGTTGTCAACAGACTGTTTATGCCGTTAGTCTTAACTACAATTAAAACATCCAGCTGATGAAACAGGATTCAGGTTTGAAGTTTCCTTCTCATTAGGAAACACACACACACCCTTACACAAACACACACGCATACACTCACCATGCTGGTGCGTCAGAGGGAAACATGTCAGCGTCATGTTCACCAATCAAGCTGTGCAGCATTTACAGGCATGAAGATTTACAACAAGAAAGCCATCCATTATCTCTGCTACAACACACACACACACACACACACACACACACACACACACACACACACACACACACACACACCACACACACACACACACAGTTTGTGGCTACAATGGGGGGTGTTTATAGTGTGTAGTTGTCGCCTCGGTGAGACTTCAGAGTGGAAAAAACTGGGTGTTGCACAAAGTGACACAACTTCCAACATCACCAAGGTCAACCAAGCGCAATTAGCCGTGTTTTTACTTCCCAGCATCCCCTGGCCTTTTCATCTATGCTTCTCTGTCTGAAGGAGGAGCAGGAGGCAGCACAGCAGCTACTCTAACTCATTGGGACCCACATCTGACAGTCAGCTGATGTCAAAGACTGGTCCAGATGTGAAAGTGTGGGTAGATGAAAGACTTTAATAGATGGGATTTTTTTCCTTTCCATCCATGGAAACATGGAACAAATGGGCGTCTAATAAAAATAGGGATAAAAGATCTGAAGTGATTTTTAAACATGCAGGTTTGATGGTCCGTCTCAGAAACCGGATAACTGCTCCAGTGTGAAGAGCGGATGGGAGGGAGGCCGGTTACTGGAGTTCAGTGTTTGTTGTTGCTCAGCTTGAAGTTTAGTGTTGAAGATAAGAGTCCCCTCTGATGATAAAGCCTTCTTAGTGAACTACTCAGAAAGCAGCTCATTAGGCCATCTGATAAAAAGAGCGGAACAAAAAGGCTGATTTGTGTTTTTACAACAAAAGATAAATACACAATATCTGGATCTAGGTGGGTTGGTTTGCTCACTTACTTACCGTCCATCCACGGCAAACCTGCAAGTGTCTCTTAAGGCTGGAAGTGTTTCTTAGGCTTTCAAGCCTTAACACTTTTCCTCTTTGACGGTGGACTCAAGAGAAGCCTGACAATCCTCTTGGATAAATCAGAACCAAAAATTGGAACTGTTAGAGAGACTTAAGCCTAAGGTACACTGGAGACAGAAGCGCTGCGTCGCGCCGTGCCCACACTTTCATTTTAAATAGAAGCCATTATAGTTAATGAGAGTAGCCACACGGGGAGCACCACATCTCAGAAGCGCCGTGCCGAGGCGCTGATGATAGGCGCCAGTTCTATTTCAAGGGTTGTGGAGCGGCATTGTGGAGTACTTTACAACAGACATTACGACGCAGAACGGCTTTACAGCACAAACCCAAACGCAGTATTGATAACTTTATTGATCTTAGAATTTTCTAAAAAATAGCATACTTACCCATTTTTTTATGAATTAGAGTCTCTCAAAACACAACAGTAAGTCTGATCACGTGAAAACAAAAGGATCACTTTCTGCTTCCTGTTCACAAGTCCTGCGTGGCGTTGTGACAATTGCGCGACTTTCCAAGAAGCGCTCAGCGGCGCATCCTATGTGACCACTTGACTTCTCAAAACCGCGGCACGCATCTGTCTCCGGTGATGCGTTCGATTTGCCCTCGGAAGTCAGACAATTCTGACTTGCCTGACTTCCGAGTAGGAAAAATCAAATGAAACGCTGCACCCCACCACCACCCCAAAGTCGGAACTCTCAGTCAGAAGTTCAGAAGAATTTCAGAACTCTGACCTCCACAACCAACATGGCAACTCTCCATATCAACAACAGTAAGTTTTGGGTGAAATAACTTATAAGAGTGTGTTTGAAACCAGTGTTACATGTTTTGCTTGCAACTCTAAGCTGCACAAACTAAAATGATTGTTTGCATGTTGAACATACAGCTTAAAACTATGTTATTACGAGGAATTGACAAACAATAGCTACTTAGGAGGTGCACGTCATTGTATTGGACTTCTCCGACCACAGTAACCAGAACGTGGTTAACTCGGGAGTGACATAATTCCCAGTTCCGGCTTCTGAGGTAAATCGAACGCACCATTAGACAGCTCTCAGCTGCTCATGAGGGAAACCTTCTGATCCACAGAGAAATGCTTTATCTTTCCCCTCCCTAGCCCTTTTAGAAGACACCAGACTTGCGAATGCATATTACTTCTTACGAACAACGTAACTGAGAATAAATTATTAGCTCAAAAGTCATTCAAATGTCATCCATCCATGCATCTTCTGAACCCGCTTTGTCCACGTAGGGTCGCGGCGGTGCTTATCTCCAGCAATCAGCGGGCAGGTAGGCGGGGTACACCCTGGACAGAGAGCCAGTCCATCGCAGGGCAACACAGAGACACACAGGACAAACAATCACACACACACTCACACCTAAGGACAATTTAGACAGACCAATCAACCTAACAGTCATGTTTTTGGATGGTGGGAGGAAACTGGAGTACATGGAGAGAACCCACGCATGCACAGGGAGAACACGCAAACTCCATGCAAAAAGATCCCAGGCCGGGAATAGAACCCAGGACCTTCTCACTGCAAGGCAACAGCTCTAACTACTGTGCCACTGCGAAGCCCTCATTCAAATGTCCTTGTCACATTTTAATCTTGGTTTTTAAACACAGTACATCTCAGTTTAACAGTTTTTAACTTGTTTGACTTCGGTTACCAGTCTCTCCCAAAATCATTGCATATGAGCAGCACTTTTTTAGCCTGGCAAGCCAGACTAAATAAATGTATTATTTAGTCTGGCAACGCTCCATTGACGGCTCTCGGTTGTGGGGCGGGTTCTACCGTTGTCTTTCAAATGATCTCCGCATTCCACTGGACAATGAGTGTGACATCCTCTTGTTTCACTCTTGCATCATCCCACCCACCAGGCATATAGAGTGCCCTGATTGGCCCACAAAGCATATAAAGTTCTGTAATTTGTTCACTAAGCAGATAGAGCACTGTGATTGGCCCACCATTATGGACCAATCACAGCTCTTTATGTGTTTGAAACCCCTCTAAAGAGTTGTGATTGGCCAGCCAGAGTCCTGGTAGGAGCTGCGGAGGTTCCAATGGAGCATGCCTAGACCAATCAATCAATCAATCAATGCTTTATTTATAAAGCGCCTTCCGCAACCCTGGCTGTGTCTCAATTCAGGGTCTGCATCCTACCTCGGCCGGATTCGTCGGCCGGTTACGTCACAGCGCCGCGACTCGGCCTGTCCCGATTCGAAGACTCCTTCAAATGCGGTCGACGAATGCGGCCTTCTTTTCGCCTGAATGAAGGATGGGTCGGGTGTATCCTTCAATAGGTAGCATTTCCCAAGATGCCTTGCGGGCCGGCCGGCCGAAAAACTTAAAAACAATGGCGGACAGTGAAGCGGGAGCTGTCGGAGAGGATTGCGCATATAAATGTAAGTATAAACTTGAAAACTGTCAGTTTAAGGACTTTTTGTGATACATGAACGTTATTTTAGTTAGAAATGTTACAGTAAAAGTGCTTGTATTGCGGTCTCGGCTCGTATGTTCGGCCGCGCTCGGTGTCGTACTTCTCCCACTACGTTTCCCCCTGATTTTAATAGAAGTTTGTATTTTAGGACCAAAAGAGAAAACCAGGGAATTTATAAGCTTAGGGCGGAGATGGACCACATGATCACCGGAGCAAAGTATTCGGCGGCTGTGGCATGGAGGTACAATAACATCTCATATTTTAAAAACTCGTTTGAGTATATTTTTTTCTGCGAAAACATGAAAGGAATAACCCGTTGTCCTCTTTTCTCTTCCTGTTTCTTTTCTTACATGTTTGTTAAGACTATTCTGGAGAAAATGGGCATCCAGGGGAAGGTGCCAGCGATGAGCTTCTGGAGCTGATCTGGGAGGACATGAGGCTGCAGAGCAGCAGAGAGCACAGGAGAGAAGGAAGAACTTTGACAGCTTTTTACTTTGCTAGAAAAAAATGGTTAATGAAGATTAAACATGTACATGTAAAAGAAATATCTAAATAAAATCAGTTCTGCATTAAACTCTTGAATTTTATTTTTGTTTACAAATGAGAATTGTTTACTAGAGGGTATCCGCTGGGTCTTGAAAAGTCTTAAAAGGTAATAAATCGGTTTTGGTCAAATTAAGACCCTTAGAAAGTATTAAAAACTATTATCACATCTTTGCTCAGGCTCAGCTAGTCTAAAGTATTTTCTCTGAATTAGCTCTCCAACAGTCAAGGAAATGATTAACCCCCAGAGACCCACGGTTGTAGTATCACAACATCAGATTTAAGTCTACAAAAATAAACCTTCCCCATTTTTTTTCTTTTTAAAACCACATTTACATTGCTAATAGGTCCTATTCAGTTCTGCAACACTATTGGCTGTTAAAATGTGTAAATAGGCCCGTTTATCTGGCCTCCTAGAACAACATGTGAAAGGTTAAAAATATTTTGCAGTTGTTTTCTAAATTTGGGTTTCTGGGGGTTAAAAAGCTAAATAAAACGTCGAGCTCCATCGTTTAAGGTTCCTTCTGCCCAGCGGTTCCACGGTTGCTAGGCGACGGAACGTTCGCCGAGGGAGTTCATGAAGGCTAGGCCTGTCCAAATTCACAGCCGTTAACATCCGGTCTACCCGGCCGACGGAGGACGCAGCCCACGTCGGCCGGGTGGGCTGGGTCCTTCGAAGGATGCAGACCCTGAATTGAGACACAGCCCCTGTCAGGAAGTCCAAGGCGCTGAACATGGTACAGAAAGTTAAATATAGTGAATAAATCAGAAAATAAAAGCAATTCAAAATACAGATTAAAAATTACAAAAAAAGGTGAAACATTCTAGTACAGGACAAATGTGTAAAACAAGGGATAGAGTGAACCAATGAAAACTGTGAAATAAAATCAACATAAAAGAGGGCCAAATTCAAACACGTTCAGGGAACGCCAAGCGGAGGAGGTGGGTTTTTAGGCGACTCTTAAAGGCTGGCAGAGATGGGGACAGCCTAACTGAGGGTGGCAACTGGTTCCATAGTAACGGTGCTAGGACAGAGAAAGCCTGGTCCCCGCGAGTACGACACCTAGAACGAGGGACAGCGAAGAGGCCTTGGTCAGAGGAGCGCAGAGCGCATGATGGGGAATGTCTGTTCAGGAGTGTGGCTAGATAAAGGGGAGTACCACCCTGGAAGAAATTAAAAACAAAGACGAGGAGTTTGAAGTGTGAACGATAGCAAACCAGAAGCCAGTGCAGGGAGGCCAGAACCGGACTGATGTGGTCCCGTTTCCTGGTCCCAGTCAGGAACCTGGCTGCGCTGTTCTGCACAACCTGTAGGCAGCGCAATGATGACTGACACAACCCTGCATAGACAGAGTTGCAGTAATCAAGCCTAGAAATTACAAATGCATGCAGTACCTGCTCCAGGTGGGCTCTTGACAGCATATGCTTGATTTTTGCAAGGCGTCTCAGGTGAAAGAAACTGGACCAGATCACAGAGTTGATGTGTGCATGACAACTGGTTTTGAGTAGGGAGAAAGAGGGCCAAGATCAACATAACGACCCACATTCCTGCTGTTGGGGTGAGAAACAATGAGCTCTGTCTTTCCCTCATTCAGATGCAGATAGTTGGCCATTAGCCAAGACTTCACCTCGTTCATGCAGGACACAAAGGACTGGATAGAGTGACCTTTCTCCTGACACAATGGAGAGTAAATCTGGCAATCATCAGCATAGAGATGGAATGATAGGCCATGTTTACAAAAGATTGACCCCAGAGGAAGCAGATAAATGGCAAACAAAAGAGGACCAAGAGAGGACCAAACTTTGCAAAGCAAGAATTTGGTTTAGTTCACTAGGCTAGCACTTTTTGACAAACCAAGACATGACAGAGAAGGACTCAATGCTTTCAACAACTTTGGGACTATTTTGAGAAGAAGTTTTTTTGAACAGATTCCACATTTCAAGGACACCAAAGGCCTTCAAACCAGTTTCCTTGTCCGGGGATCGGACCGCCAAGGCTCCCGCCTTTGTCTGCCACGCGATCCACATTGCACCGGACCCTTCATGTTCCTCCTGCGGGTGGTGGGTCCACTGTTGGATGAGCCCATGTATCCGGGTCGGGCTGGGCCCGGCCGGGCCCCGTGGGCGAAAGCCCGGCCACCAGGCGCTCGCTCACGGGCCCCAACCCCAGGCCTGGCTCCAGGGTGGGACCCCGGTAACCCTCCGGGCCGGGTACTCCGACTCTTTGATTGTAAATCCATGAAAGATCCTCTGAACCGTTTACAGCACACATTGTGACTGTGTTTACAGTTCAACAGACCCTGCTCTGTTCTGACTCATGAGAAGGTGATTAAAATTGCAAAACTTGCTTCAGTTTGAATGCAATCATGATGCAATGATTTTAGTACTCAGTAAAAAGATTATTCTCTGCTATGTTCTGCTCTTGATCAACTTCCTGTAGCCTCCTAATGACTATAAACCTGCTTTTCTGACTTTATGAAGGCTTTATGTCATAAAGAGCCTAATTCACGCCCATCTACAGGTGCTGGCCAGTAAATTAGAATATCATCAAAAGGTTGAAAATATTTCAGTAATTCCATTCAAAACGTGAAACTTGTACATTATATTCATGCAATGCACACAGACCAATGTATTTCCAATGTTCATTACATTTAAATTTGATATTCATAAGTGACAACTAATGAAAACTCCAAATTTGGTATCTCAAAAAATTAGAATATTCTGAAAAGGCTGAATATAGAAGACACCTGCTGCCACTCTAATCAGCTGATTTACTCAAAACACCTGCAAAGGCCTTTAAAAGGTCCCTCAGTCTTGTTTTGAAGGCACCACAATCATGGGGAAGACTTCTGACTTAACAGCTGTCCAAAAGACAATCATTGACACCTTGCACAAGGAGGGCAAGACACAAAAGGTGATTGCTAAAGAAGCTGGCTGTTCGCAGAGCTCTGTGTCCAAGCACATTAACAGACAGGCGAAGGGACGGAAAAAATGTGGTAGAAAAAAGTGTACAAGCTCTAGGGATAACCGCACCCTGCAGAGAATTGTGACGACAAACCCATTCAAAAATGTGGGGGAGATCCACAAAGAGTGGACTGCAGCTGGAGTCAGCGCTTCAAGAACCACCACGAGGAGACTCATGAAAGACATGGGATTCAGGTGTCGCATTCCGTGTGTCAAGCCACTCTTGAACATGAAACAGCGCAAGAAGCGTCTCGCCTGGGCCAAGGACAAAAAGGACTGGACTGATGCTGAGTGGTCCAAAGTTTTGTTTTCTGATGAAAGCAAGTTCTGCATTTCCTTTGGAAATCAAGGACCCAGAGTCTGGAGGAAGAGCGGAGAAGCACAGAATCCACGTTGCATGAGGTCCAGTGTAAAGTTTCCACCGTCAGTGATGGTGTGGGGTGCCATGTCATCTGCCGGTGTTGGCCCACTCTGTTTCCTGAGGTCCAGGGTCAATGCAGCCGTCTACCAGGAAGTTTTAGAGCACTTCATGCTTCCTGCTGCTGACCAACTTTATGGGGATGCAGACTTCACCTTTCAACAGGACTTGGCACCTGCACACAGTGCCAAAACCACCAGCACCTGGTTCAAGGACCATGGTATCCCTGTCCTTGATTGGCCAGCAAACTCGCCTGACCTTAACCCCATAGAAAATCTATGGGGTATTGTGAAGCGGAGGATGCAATACGCTAGACCCAACAATGCAGAGGAGCTGAAGACGACTATCAGAGCAACCTGGGCTCTCATAACACCTGAGCAGTGCCACAGACTGATCGAGTCCATGCCACGCCGCATTACTGCAGTTATTGAGGCAAAAGGAGCCCCGACTAAGTATTGAGTGCTATACATGCACATTCTTTTCATGTTCATTCTTTTCAGTTGGCCAACATTAGAGAAACAAACATTTTTTCATTGGCCTTTAGAATATTCTAATTTTCTGAGATACCAGATTTGATGTTTTCATTGGTTGTCACCTATAAATATCAAAATTAAACGTAATAAACATCGGAAATACATTGGTCTGTGTGCATTGCATGAATATAATGTACAAGTTTCACGTTTTGAATGGAATTACTGAAATATTTTCAACCTTTTGATGATATTCTAATTTACTGGCCAGCACCTGTACTTTTGGTCCATGGGTCCACTACTGCAGAAAAACAAGAAAGAGAGTCTATGGGTGATTAACAAATATTTTCTGATCCCATTTGACACGTGCCATGGATTTACCTTTGATGTCTGTAAATGTTAAAGACACATTTTGATCCCAAGACAGCATTTATTTTCGACAGGAGGCAAAAGTTACTTTAGGTTTTGTGTGAAAAGGTGTAGAAGAATACAAATGCTCGTCTCACTAAATTGACATAATCAAACCAGACACGGAGATGAGGAGAAGAAAATCTCTGAGTTTAGCGAGTACTTCTTCCAGGATGACAGAGGGAGCTTTAACCCTCTCAGGCTCAAAATAAATTTTGATAAAGGCAGGGCCAGATTAACACTTCGTTGTACCCTGGGCAACAATATTAAAGGGCCCCATCATCACGACCCAAGGACCACCATAATATGGTCACATACACTGTAATATGCAGTAAATATACTCAATACTTGAATGCCTGACATCACGTAACCCGCTCAGGGTAACCTTTGACCCACCTTGTGTGGACTGACCAATGAGGAGGGGCCCTCTCTTCATTGGTCAGTCTGACTCTCAACTGGTCTCAACTGACGTTCAAAGTCATAGTCAGCGAAGCGTCTCTGTGCAGCGCAAAAGCTCGGGTGGACAGTTTGTTTAATATAGGGTGACCATATTTCCATTTCCAAAAAAGAGGACAGGGGATCTGTGCCTATGAAGTCACACTATGGCAACGCCACACAAACCATGTTGGTGCCCATTTTTTGAAAGAACTACATTAATATCAGATTCTGCCAATAAAAGGGCTCTAAAACAATTCATATGTAAATAATTAGCATATGTATAGCAAAATCTTATTTTTCTGCTTTAGTGCTGCAACAAGGTTTTATTAATAA